GGGGGGGGGGGGGGAGAAGACAGACAAATGAGCCAGCACTTACGATCCTGTCAGGGGGCGGGATGCTCCCCACCAAGCACTCCAGCCGAGCTTTGGCTCCCACCGTGGTCTGCTGGCTCGGTTCCGCGCTGATAACTGGCGGGCCTGAAACGAGGGCACCATTAGGGGGCTGCTGTGTCCCTCTTTGCCACCCCCCCACATTGAGAGGTCACCGAGACCTGCTAAGCAGCCAAGCCCAGGCCCGGTCCCTTACCATTCACCGCGAGCGTCACCTCCTTCTCCGCAACCCCAATGCGTGGCACGATCGCTTTGCACACGTAGATGCCGGCGTCCTCCTGCGTCACCGCCTTCAGGTGCAGGGTGTTTCCATTGCTCAGCACCTGCCGATAGGACAGGGCCTGAATGTGGCTCTCCTAAGATCACGGGGGTCACCTCCGCACTCAGAAGAGAAGCGGGGATCTCCTAGGTTTGCATGCAGAAGGCGGGGGCCCCCGGCGCCAGTGTCTTACCACACTAGATCCCTTCTTGGTCCAGGCCAGGGTGAGGGGTGGGTTCCCAAACCAGGTGCAAGTGAATGAGGCATCGGCACCAATGTCGACAGTCAGGGGCTTGGGTTGAGATATGAGACGGGGTCCAACTGCAGAGAGAGAAAGAGGGGGGGGTAGCACAGAATGGTGGTTGGGACCCGGAGCAGTGAGCCAGAAAGCCCCCTGTGCAATCCTTATCCCTGCCATGAGTTTCCAAGTACCTTCACGCAAGCTGTGTTCCCAACTTTTTATCCCCAGTACGGGGAACATAAGATCAAGCTAACCTTTGCAAGTACTAGATTGGAGGGAGAGGAGGCACAAAATGTTTTGGATGCTCTAGAGTGGGATGCCTCACATTTTTTTAGCCTGTGGGCACCTTTGGAATTTTGAAAGGGGTGCTGAGTGCCACTCCAAAATGGTTGCTTCAGGAGGTGGCGTCAAACCCAAAATGGCTGCCGCAGGAGGTGGAACCAAAGGTGATATTACCATCCCCCTCCCCCACTTTGCAAGAGACGGTGACTTAAGGAAAGTGCAGGTCCTCATGACCTTCCAGCGGAAAGCCCCTTCACATGAATGAGGGCAGCCAGTAATAAGACCTGCCTTACAATGGCCCCATCTGCTTTCTAAAAAGCTTAGTGGGTGCCAGGGGAAGTACTGGTGGGCACCATGGTGCCCGTGGGCACCATGTTGGGGAACAAAGCAGTGGGCCAGGACCTTCAGAGGGGCTTTAGAGCCCCACTTCCTGGGCGACGAACCCCCACACAGTTGCCATTTCTGCATGCCCACTGAGAGGAGAAACGGGACCGCAAGTGACTCAGCAGTGGAGGGGATTTCTCCATGGCTGTGACCCTTGGTTATACCTCCTGGTCCTCGGCTTGTGCCTCCTCTCCCCAATTTTCATGGGGTTGGATCCTATGGATTTGGTCCCTAAATGATGGTACCTTCCTCTGGCACATGGATCCAAGATGTTCTTCCACTACTGGAAGTGCCTCCAATGTTGGGGGAAAGACACTGCTCTTTGGCCCATTCCACGGTTCACTCTTCCGTTTTACCGAGCCCACAATGGAACAGAATTTCCGCTCTGCATTGCATGGGGCTTTCACTTTGAGTGTCGTATTTTATGGTGGTGTCTAGACTGTATGTTGCTTTCACTTCATTTGATCTCTCGGTTTTATGGGAGCCGTCTGCATAGATTTATGGCCATTTTATGGCCCTTCAGGAGTGACTCTGCAGTCCGTATGGTATAGGGCCGGGGTACTTGAATGTGGTTTTGAGTCACATCTTTTTCTGTTCCAGTGTGGGATTGGTAAAAGAGCGGAGTGAATGCTAGATGCAGAATGGGCCTTAATGGAACAGGCCCATAGCGTCCAACCCTTGGTCCGCTGTCCATGGTCCTGGCATCGAAAATGGTGCGGTCACAGCCCCTTATATATCCCCACCTTCCTCCACCTTTCCAGAATGTCCCCACATATCTCAGGATCCCAATCTGCCTCCTCACTCACAATGCACGTCCACCAGCGTGCTGACATTGGTGCTCCCCACAGCATTCGACACCTCGCACGACACGGGTTCGGTGAAGAAGGACTGGTCGACTGTCGCTTCATAACTGTCACCGTTGGCTTCGGGAACGGGAACACCACCTTTTGCCCACCTGCGGAACCGGGCACAATCTTAGAAAACCCTGACTCAAGGCACCACCGGGGGGGGGGCAGAGGGGGGAAGAGAACAATAATCCCTGCAGAAGGAAGGAACCCCAGATCTGACCCCGTCCTTCCAACCAGTGAGCATGCAATCTCCCCAAACCGCCAATAGAGGGCATCAGAGCTACATGTTGCGGAATTCGGGCTGGATTGAGGCTCAGTCCTCTGCGAAACCTCTGGTACACCTATGATACTTTCATTTCTATAGCAATGTGCCTCTGTGGTTCAATCTGTAGTTCTGTTTCCCAGGAGGCTGCAGGGCTCAGCTAGGCGCTGTGGCCTTCAGGATAACACTGTACGTGACTTCTGCCTTTTGGAATGTTTATACATTATCAAATTCTAAATAAACAGAGTATCAGAACCCAGCTTCCCGGGACTCTCTGAGTCAACCTTGACTCTCTGAGTCAGCCTAGATGAACCCAGCTCTCCTTGACCTCCCCGACTCCAGAGATAGAAAGAAAGGGCTGCGCTTTGCCCTATATGTCACAGATATGTATCAAATGCTCGTCACAGACTTGACTGACAGTTACATTAGCCCCTGTGGTAGGAAAAGCGGACTCATTGTCTGAATTTAGTTTTGTTCCTTGTTGTTCTGGCCAGCCACCCTTCTGTTATGGGTCTTGACAGAGCAACCAAGGATATCCTTTATAGAACTTTAAGTGCAGTATTTATGTATTGGGTCAATTTGGTGTAGTGGTTAAATGTGCAGACTCTAATCTGGGAGAACCAGGTTTGATTCCCCACTCCTCCACTTGCACCTGGCTGGATGACCTTGGGCAAGCTGTAGTTCTGTCAGAGCTGTCCTTGGAAAAGAGCAGTTTCTGTCAAGAGCTCTCTCAGCCCCACCTACCTCACAGGGTGTCTGTTGTGGGGAGGGGAAGGGAAAGGCATTTGTAAGCCACTCTGAGACTCCCTTGGGTAGTGAAGGGCAGGGTATAGATCTCTCTCTCTCTCTCTCTCTCTCTCTCTCTCTCTCTCTCTCTCTCTCCCCACTTATCTCTCTCTCTCTCTCTCTCTCTCTCTCTCTCTCTCTCTCTCCAGTTGGGAAGCCAGCTTCTCTCCCTCCCCAAAATGAGCACAGTGGGGATGGGAGTGCATGAAAAGGTTCCTGCACCCCTCACTTCCCCGACACTCTATCATTGCTGGGGTTGGATCTTGGGAGCGTGGGGGTCCTGTTCCAACCCTCACCTGTAGCCTGTCACTTCGGGGTTGGAGGTGGCTGTGCAGAGGAAGCTGACCTTGCCACCTTCAGGTACGGTTTGCGGCTGGACCGATAGGATGACAACAGGCGGGTCTGCAAGAAGAGGAGATGAGCGGCTGAAACGCTGAATGTGTCCCTGTCTTGGTAACAAGGCGCTCAGGCTGGAATTCCCTAAAGCCGTGTCTTCCGGGCTTGCTGAGGCCAGCCCCACACACAGCTCCAGCAAGAGCTTCAAGAGCTCCGTCCCAAATCAGGACAGGGAACGCACTGCCGATACCATCACCCCCATGGGATCCCCCTCTGTTGAGACTCACACTGGACATTGAGGGTGACGGTCGTCTGCTTCCCCGCAGGTGCTGCTGGATTGCTGACCCGGCAGGTGAAGCTGCTGCCCATATCCCGACTGCTGGGGGTCAAGAGGAGAGTGCTGACCGCCACCTCCCGTTTGCCGTCCTCCATCAGCGCCTGCAGGAGAGAAAAGGACATCGCGTGAGCAACCCAAGTGCCGTGGTTCTGGTGCCGTCTCCGATCATGAAGCTGGTGCAGGGTGGTCGTTAGAATGGCAGATGAAGAACACAAAGACCCGGGTTCAGATCTCCACTCCCCGCCTCACAGGGTTGTTGTGAGGATAAAATAGAGGTGGGGAAAATTATGTAAGCCACCTTGGTCCCCCACTGGGGAGAAAGATGGGGCATAAATGAAATAAACAAATACTAGTCAGTCCTTGGGAAAAAAATCATTTTATTTACAGTGTTTATATGCCACCTCTCCACACGCCAGTTCAAGGTGGCTCATGAAGTAAGAACAGTAAAATATAATTCTGAAAAGAAATGTAAGGCTTATCAATATTAAAACAAACCAGGGGCATAAAAAGCATTCTAAAATTACGGTCGTAGAATAGTCCTCAGGGGATAAAGGTAAAGGTTCCCTTGCTCGAAAGCCAGTCGAGTCCGACTCTAGGGTTGTGATGCTCATCTCCGTTTCAAAGCCGAAGAGCCAGCGCTGTCCGAAGACATTTCCGTGGTCATGTGGCCGGCATAACTAAACACCAAGGCACACGGAATGCTGTTACCTTCCCACCGAAGTGGTCCCTATTTATCTACTTGCAATTTCTTGCTTTCGAACTGCTAGGTTGGCAGGAGCTGGAACTAGAGACGGGAGCTCACTCTGTCATGCGGCACACTCGGGTCTCGAACTGCTGAACTACCGACCTTCCACAGCCTGCAGTTCAGCGTCTTAACCACTTGAGCCACTGCAGCTCCTTCCTCAGGCGATAAGCGGGGCTTAAAAAGTTGAACCCCCTCCGTTAAAAGCCTAGGTAAAAAGAAACGTTTTGGCCTGGTGCCTAAAGGACAGCCAAGTGAGTCTGAAAGGGGAGGGCATTCCAGAGACAAGGGGCCACCACTAACCCCCCCCATCTATGAAAACGCTCCCTCTAAGCTGTGGAGTCTCGTGAACAAAAATGCTACTTTGGGAGCTACTGGCATTAAAGTTGTGAGGGAGCGATTTGGCTACTGCATAAATTAGTTTGCTCTGGAGCCATCCTTCCTGAGCTAAGACAAAAATGTGTGAGCCAGAGGCTAAAAAACTGTGAGTTAGCCCACACCAACTCAACTTAGAGGGAACACTGGTCTCTGGTTGCAATTTGCCTCAGCTCTGCAGGCCGGGGCACAGATAGCGGGGCTTTAGAAGAAGATTTTCAATTTGTGGGAGGCGGCTGAAAAGTACAGGAGGAGGCAGTGGTAGAGTACCATACTGAGCTCCTCGGATAGATTTTGGAAGGTCAAGAGGGAGACACTCAAGGGCGCTCAAGACTTCCTGCTCTGCTGCCTGCTTCACTCCCGCCAACCTGCAACGCAGCCTCACCTTGGAATACACCGCTGAATCCTGCCGCTGTCCATCACGGTACCAGCTGATCTCAGCGGCAGGCTTGGCCCCGGCGGCCCGGCAGGACAGGTTGTAGGGGACGTTGGAGATCACGTGCACAATCGGGCCATTCTGGATCTCAGGATCGTTGGGAGGGACTGGAAGGGGAGAGGCAAAGGAAAGAGGTCAGCTGAGGTGATGCTCTGGGAGGGGGGCACACGCACACACACACATGCCACAACACACGCACACGAAACCTTCTGGAAACGCAGGCTCCTTTGGAACCACATCCCGGCTGGAGCAAAACAGAAGGGGAATGCTTAATCCAAGCCAGGGCTCGATTCCAGATCTACTGAAGAGGGATCATTAATGCATTTAATCGTTTGCGACGGAACGGAGCCTGCCAGCCCTTTTCCCAGGGAGCGCTTCCATCGCAGGGATGCTAGCACTGCCCACTCTCTCCATGCATCAGAGGCAGGTGAGTTCCATAAAGCTGGGGGAAATGATGGGGGGGGGGAGAGGACTCAGTCCCCAGAAGCCAGAAGAAAGGCCTTCAGGCCCAGTATGCGGCTTTTCTTTTTGCCCTGAATCAGTGGTGGAGCATCTGCTCGGCAGGCAGAAGGTCCCAGGTTCAATCCCCCCAGCATTACTAGCGAGCCACAGGTGATGCATTAAGACATCAACCTGAGAACCTGGAAAGCGGCTGCCAGTCAGAGTAGACAAGGCCGGCCTTGACAGAGCAACCGTCTGACTCAGTACGAAGCTTTGTCACAATGGCAGGCTGTCGAAGCAACCCAGCCATCAATTTAGGGTCAGCTTTAGTCGTTTCAGAAGCCACAGAAAGCTCTTCTTCCCCATACCCCCTAACGAGCCTGTGGAACTCACTGCGACCAGATGTGACACCCTGCCAGTTCCCGTGGCTTTCAAAGAGGACTTAGTGAAATTCATGGAGGATTGTCTGCTAATGGCTGCTATCCATGATAGTTTAATGGAACTTCAGGTGTACCTATGAATATCCCGTTGCTGGGGGCAAAAACAGGGACAGGCTTTGGCCTCTCAGACCCTGTTCCTGGGCCTTCCAGAAGGCATCTGTTTGGCCCCTGTGGGAAACAGGATGCTACTCTGCCCCTCCACTTATATTTTATGGATTATTTTATTTTACTTTATGAACATTTAGCCTTCTCCACAATGGATACCCAAAGAGGCTTAACCTCATTCTTCTCGCCTCCATTTTATCTTCACAACAACCCTGGGAGGTAGGTTAGGCTGAGAGTGTGTGACAGGCCCAAGGTCACCCAGCGAGCTTCCATGACAGAGTGGGGATTCGAACCTGGGTCTCCCCAATCCTAATCCAACAGTCTAACCACTTCACCTGACTGGCTGCTTGGTATATCAGACTGGCACTCTGTTGTACATTATTATTGACAGGATCAGTCCTCTTCTGCACAGAGTCTGCCTCAGCACCAGAACCACACATGGCATCCAGTCTAGGGTTTTTTCCCTTCTTTGGGAAACATCTCTTAGGTTTTAAACACTAACATTTCAAAAAGTTCCAAGTCCCAGCACCCTCCATAAACGCACTGAGCACAGCTTGGTGGGCCGTTTCACATGAGGGGACAGTGGCAGAATTGCCCCACCCACCCCCAGGAACAGATGTTGTGGAGGAAACAAAACGCACTCAGGACGGTGAGCTTTGCGCGCTGAGATCTCAGAGCCGCTTGCGTGGCTTGGCATTCGTAGACTGCATCGTCATCCAGCTCGGCGTAGTCGATGCGCAAGTTGTGCTGTCCAGCAGAAGCATCACCGACAATGGAGTAACGGGACCAGCCTGTGGTGAAGAGGGAGAGACCATACAGGATGGAATTAGTACACAGGACCCAGAATGGAGAGACGCAGGGCTATTTTTGGGCAGGAACGCACAGGAACGGAGTTCCGGCTGGCTCCCGAGTTGGCCACGCCCAGCAGGAACTCATTAGCATAATAGGCCACGCCCAACAGCAGAAACTCATTAGGATTGGCTACTTTAGGGGTGTGTGGCCTAACATGCAAAGGAGTTCCTGCTACAAAAAAAGCCCTGGGTTCTGACCACAAACAGGGTCAACAGAATAAGAAGCAAAAGGTGGGCGTGGCTGGATGACCACACTACTGGTAACATGGGGGTGCAGCCTAGTATGCTAATGAGCTGTGCTGTCAGGGGTGTGGCCTAATATGCTAATGAGTTTCTGCTCTTGGGTGTGGCCTGTTATGCTAATGAGTTCCTGCTGGGCTTTTTCTACAAAAAGAGCCCTGGGAGACACATTGCCCTGTGGTTGTATTTTGCGTGTGTGATTATTGTGTGTGTGTGCCTGGAACTCATGGTTGACTTCTGGTGACCCCTAGTGGGGCTTGAACATTTCAGAGAGGCGGCTCTCTATTGCCTGCCTCTGCGTCCCGGCCCTGGTATTCCTTGGAGGTCTCCCATCCAAGGCAGGGTCGGCCCTGCTTAGCTTCCAAGATCTGATGAGCCTGGGCTTGCCTGGGCTATCCAGGTCGAGGCACCCTGCCCCCCAGTTATTTGCTGACTTCTAAAACAGTCATATGCTGCTTCTTTGGGGACCTCAGCAAGGCAGTTCACAGAATAAAGCACGGTAAAACGAATTATTTTGGAATTAAAAACCATCAAAAAGCGGCTAATGTAGAGCCTTCCCCCCCTGCGTCAAAGCACACCTAAGAAAAAAATCCAAAACGTAAAACACTTGCCACCCTAAACGATTCTCATTAGAGGCTAGAAGGAGACCGGTGGAAACAATTAAAAAGATCGATCTCCCCCATTAAAATGCCCAAGGATCAGGACAATGACCAAGAGCTACTGCTGCGGGCAGCAGGCCTGTACGGTGGCCAGTGCCACCTGTGATTGAGCTCTCCTCCAACGACAGCCTTTGCCCCTCCTCATTAGGGTTGCCAATCTCCAGGTGGGTCCTGGAGATCTCCTGGAATGACAACGGTTGTCCAGGCTACAGAGATCACTCCCCCCAGATAAAAAGGGCTGCTTTGGAGGGTGGACTCCGAGGCGCTCTGACTCGCTGCCATCCCTCCCCTCCCTAGGCTCCACCCCCAAATCTCCAGAAATTTCCCAACCCGGAGTTGGTAACCCCACTCCCCACACCATAGCAAAACATACCAGGCAGGTCTCTTTCTCCGCCCAAAGCCAGCCCGTCCTTGGTCCACTGCACCATGCCACGGTAGCCCATCACCACGCAGGCCAGCGTCACCGACTGTCCAGAAACGATCACCTGATCCATGGGCTGCTGGAAGAAATAGGCGGCCAACGCTGCAGGGAGGGAAGGGAGAAAAACAAGGCGGTTAAGCCAAGCCCCAGGGCTGCCTGCACAGGGCCTGAACTTTGTTGGGCTGCTTTCTTTCTTTATTTCATTCATATCCTGCCTTTCTTCCCAAGGGGGACCCAAACTGGCTTAACGTCACTCTCCTTCCTCCTTTTATCCTCTCAACAGCCCTGTGAGGGAGGTGAGGCTGCTGAGAGGGTGTGAGTGGCCGAAAGTCACCCAGCAGGCATCCGTGGCAGAGTGGGGGTTTCGAACCTGGGCCTCCCACATCCTAGCCCGACACTCTAACCAAGGCACCACGCTGGCCCTCACAGCAGAGAGGCATACGTCGTCCTGTCTGCTTGCTCCAATCACAGCCCTCCTCATCCATCATTCTGACATAAGGTTACCATCCTCCAGGTGGGGCCTGGAGATCTCCTGCTATTACAGTCGATCTGTATGCTGATTTGCTACCCGCCCTCTACCCATAGGGTAACTTACATTTCAGTGTATCTGAAGCAGTGTGCGTGCACACGAAAGCGTAGGCCTGGAATAAAACTTTGCTGGTCTTAAAGATGTCAGTGGACTCAAACTTTGTTCAGTTGATCTCCAGACAGAGATCGGTTCCCCTGGGAGAAAATGGCTGCTTCGGAGGGTGGATTCTGTGGCACCATACCCTGCTGAATCGCCCAGTCTAGCCCAGTCTTGCCAGATCTTAGAAGCTAAAGCAGGGTCAGCCCTGGCTAGTATTGGGATGGGAGGCCTCCAAGGACGCAGTGGCAGGCAACGGCAAACCATCTCCAAATGTCTCTTTGCGTTGAGAGGAGGGGGGGGGAGGAGACTGGATTTATACCCTGCCCTTCACTACACGAAGGAGTCTCAGAGCGGCTTACAATCTCCTTTCCCTCCCCCTCCCCACAACAGACACCCTATGAGGCAGGTGAGGCTGAGAGAGCTCTTTCGAGAACTGCCCTTGAGAGAACAGCTCTGAAGGAACTTGTGGCTGACCCAAGGTCACACCAGCAGCTGCATGTGGAGAAGTGGGGAATCAAACCCAGCTCTCCCAGATTAGAGTCTACGCAACCAACCACTACACCAAACTGGGTCTCCCTATGGGGCCACCATAAATCAGTTGTCACTTAATGGCAAAAAGAAAAAAACTGCTGAGGTCCCTCCCCTGCCCCAAACCCCACCCTCTCCACTCCAGACTTCAGCCCCCAAATCCCCAGGTATTCCTCTACTCAGAGCTGGCAACCCTATTCTGACAGCACCCAATGAGATGCCTCTGAAAGTGCCACGTCAGGGAACAAAGTCCCCCCTTATTTTGTTCCCCAGTGCTCAAAGGTATACTGCGTACCGCACATGGAGACTCCGTCTTGCAGCTTTGGTTAAAAACTGTTGATAGACCCATCCTACAGGAACCCGCCCACGGCTTTCCCCATCTAATCTGAGACCTGCTCTGCTCAAGAGGTGCAATGAGATGGCCGAGCCTCATGGTGACCGGGTGGACAGCACCACTTCAGAAAGCAGTTAGGGGACAGACTCCAGCTTCGAATGCTCCCCTACATGAGAACATAAGAGAGGCCAATGTTGGATCAGGCCAATGGCCCATCCAGTCCAACACTCTGTGTCACACAGTGGCCAAAAATACCAGGTGCCATCAGGAGGTCCATCAGTGGGGCCAGGACACGAGAAGCCCTCCACATAAAAACCCATGCCCCTGCATCTAGAAAGCCAATTCCCCAAGAAAGGGTGGAGTCCAGCTTTCTGCTTGTGTGGAAGTTTTCAAAAACTGTAGCAATCTTATATAGGCCTGTGTGCGTCCACCCTCCCCTGGCTCACGAGGTACGTGCACATTCTCAAAATGTTCCTTCTGTTAGCAGTTTTATTCTCTTTGCCTCCACACAGAAATGTGGTGGGAGAGACGGGGTGGGGGGAGGTGAGGGGGGAAAAGAGCGCTGATAGAGCATGTTTCAAATTCGGAGGCAACGCAGCAGCCCCCGGGTCCCTGGCACTGCCTTATCTCCCTGCCACAGACTGCTGAGGTGCCAGTTTCATAGGCTCTGCACATGCCCCTGGGCCAGAAAAACACACACACAAGGCTCCGTTTTCTGCTCCGTGCTGCCCTCATTGAGCGGTTTTCTTCTGTTCCCCTTTTTCTTCCAGCCTTATGGAAACGTACTGAAGGAAACTTTTTTGGATAGGCGAATCAGGACGTGCAAGTCAAACTGGGCATTTCTGGAACCAGAGCCCTTTTCCTCAGCTTTGGGCTGAAAACTAAGTCTGGCGGTTAGTTAGACCAACGGAAAGAGCTAGGGACAAGGAGGGAAGCCTGAAGGTCAAACGATGCAGGACACTGGACTTCTGGGAATCACACTTGGGACATGCAGCGCTGCTCGGGGGAGACTGGGGTTGGCAAAGCAAGAGTTAAACTGTTCCCTCCCTACACCAGTTCTCCTAGGGGATCGCTGGACTGCTTTTAAGGTCCATGGGTTGGGGGGAAGAGAAGACCGCAGTGCTATGCTATGCTTCTGTGCACCATGTTCAGTCAGGGAAAAGGTAGAGTGGGGAGAGAGGAAAGTCCCTCCTTTCCCAGCACTGTGGCCCCTGATTCCCCCCCCCCACTTCTCAAACTCCGATTACACAGCTGGAGTTCCAATCACTCCAACTTCACGCTGACCGTGTGGGAATAAATCAGCATCTAGTTACATGGGACACACGGCATATAACGTTCAGAGATTTCCACACAGCACTGAGTCATGTGCCAAGTACACAAAGAAGAGTTTGTACATAAGGTTGCCAGCACTGCCTTCGCAAATGCAGAGAGATTTTGAGGGAGGTGCCTGGGGAGGTTGGAGTCTGGGGACGTGATGTCACTTCTGGGTGACGCTCTAGGAGTTTCCCCTAATTTCTGTGGTAAAGGCCATAGAGACATGAGGAATATTCCTAGAGTGTCACTGTGGAGGCCATTCCCCCCCCTCTGCTCCTCAGTTTTGCAATCTGCCTCGACTCTGAGTAAGAGGGACTATATCTATTTGCTCCATGTTAAGTGTTTGCTTTCCAGAATTAGAAAAATGATGTAAATAAAAGCTGAAGCAGGCACACCACAAACAATGCAATACAACTGCCGGAAATTTCTCCAGAGATGCTGGGAAGTCTATCCGGTTATCAGCCCCAGGCGGGTGCCCGAGATCCATTGTGCAACCTCCCAGACTCTGCCCTCTTGGCCACTGGGAGCCTGTTAAGATCCAAGAGGCTGAAAGAGCCTTTATTGGCACACAGACCCCTCCATCTTGAAGCTCTTATCTCCGCACTAAAGCCTGCTTAACGGCAATCCAATAAGGCCGGGCCTTTTGTCCCATTGTTTAAAAGTTTACCCACTCAACCAGGGGCTGAGCAGCCGGATAATCCCCTCAAGAGGGTCAAGACACAGAGGGAGCCGCAGACAAAGGCTGGAAGGAGAGTCAGGAAGGCAGGCGGAGTCTTCCCCCTGGGAAGGGAATCAGGCCGGCTAATCAAGCTGGAAGGATTGGAGCGACACCGCCAAGTCTGGTACCAGCCAGAACTTCTGTTCTGGGCCTTCCGCACGCCCCAACCCATGGGCAGATTCGTATCAAGGAAGAGAAGGGCTCTTGAGAATGGAAGTTATGAACGCCTCCCCGTTTTCTAGTTTGCAGGCTTGATATCTTGGCTGATCCCAAGCTCCAGGCCGATTGAATCAATCCCCTCCCAACGAGACCGACAGCGGCCATAACGCCAAACGCTAAAATATACCTCATTTCACTCTTGCCAAAATTGTTCCAAGTGATTTAAAATGTTTAAAAGGGGAGCGCCGTTTCTACAGGAACGGGCTCCGGAGGCAACCCAAGGCGGATTTGGCTGCCGTCCCTTCTCTTAACCCAACTAGCTAGCCATACGGGAGCCCGGGCGGCGGTGGGGGGCAACTGAACGACTAACCACATTTATTCCAGCATAAGCGTTCTCGAGTCAGAGCTCGCTCCATCCGATACAACCAGCATATGTAGACTTCCTCGACTCCCAAGTGAAGAAAACAAGGCATCTAAGAGGAGTGGTCCAGAACATACCACCTTCCAAGTCCCCCCTCCAGAACATGGGATGGTGGTTCCACCTGGCCTAGAGTTGCCAGCCTCCGGGCGGAGCCTTGCAATCTCCTGGAATTATAATGGATCTCGGAACGACAGAGATCAGCCGCTCTGGAGGGTGGACTCTATGGCTTTATACCCCGCTGAGGTCCCTCCCCTCCTCAAGCCCCGCCCTCCCCAGGCTCCGCCCCCCAAATCTTCAGATATTTCCCAACCTGGAGCTGACAATGCTAAACTGGCCTCACCCTTGCATTTTTAAAAAGCATCAAAACCAGGGCTATTTTTGGGCAGGAACGCACAGGAACGGAGTTCCGGCTGGCTCCCAAGTTGGCCACGCCCAGCAGGAACTCATTAGCATAATAGGCCACACCCAACAGCAGGAACTCATTAGGATTGGCTACATTAGGGGTGTGTGGCCTAACATGCAAAGGAGTCCCTGCTCCAAAAACGGCCCTGGGTTTTGACAACAAACAAGGTAAACAGAATAACAAGCCTACCCGGGTGCCTTCTCGAAACAGGCTCTGACCCTACCTGCCAATCCCACTCTATCATAAACTTTAGTTCACCGGGTCCCTCTGTGTCGGCTGCAGAAGTGCTACAGCACAGAATGGGTTTCCTGACGTGCCAAGCCCTACTGATCCTAAACAATTCCATCCCTTCTTTTTGCCCCATGCAGGTTTTAGCTTAAGGGGGTCAGCAATGCAGGAAGCCCGCAGATTAATGCAGTCGGTTAAGCCTGGCTTTCCAGATCCTGGCCTAGAGGCCAACAAAACAAAACACAGCGAGAACGGGGTCTAATGCAGTGTGGTGTAGAGCACAGGATTAAGATCTGGGAGACCCCATACTGGGTCAGCCACATTTAATGGCTGTGTACCTAGACTACCTAGAGTAGAGGGGCTGCAGTG